TTTGTGCATTTTATTACTAATAGAATATAGTGCATTAGCCAGCACCTTTGTGGTGCGGTGGCACAAAGCGTGCCCTATCAAAACAATAGAGTGCGTGAAAATAGAAATACGTGATGGATGCAAGTCAGACTATTTTAAGCCACTGTTTACTATCATTATATCATACTCATCCGGTTTTAAATATAAGACTATTTTTTAGTGTAAATTACACTAAAAAAAATCTTATATTTAGGGTTGGTTTACTGTAAATTATTCGTTTTGACTTTTAAAATAAGTTATGCTACTCAGCTACCAGTTAGTTGTCACTTGTCTCAGCAACAATGTCACTCACAACATTTGGATAAGATGCTGAGTTCGATTGACATCACTAATAACATGTTTGGGTATTTGTGTGCATAAATTGTAAATTCGTACTAAATCAAAAAATAAGTTATGTCAAATTCTATAATCCAATAACATCAAACAAATTTTTTAAGTTATGAGTTTCAACCCATATATTCCCTCCTGCCCACAATAGGTCACTTCTAGGAGATTGATCTGGTCCAAAATTTGGCCTAAATGCAGTTTTTTTCCCCCCTCTTTCACAACCTCAGTCAATATGAATAAAGTTGAAAAAACTTTTCAATTTGAAATACATTTAATAAGATAATTAGCAATTTTTTATATTAATAAATTGATTAAATTATTAAAATAACTTATACGGTAAACATAGTAGCAGGAAGTATGCGAGTCAGAAGGAGAGAAGAATTTGGTATTGGTTGGATTACAAGTCCCCACAATTAAATTAAAACTTCATAAAGTTAAGACAATTCTTTTTTTTTTTTACCAGCAAATTTAAGACAATCTTGTCAATTTCTTCTCGGTGATCTGCATATAAGTTTATATTTCACATTAATGAGTAGCATTGATGGATGGTAATGGGAGGCCCATAATCAATGAGCAGCTTGATTTTTTATTTTAAAAATCAACGGATTTGACAATTTTTTATGGAGTTATTATTTTTGACAGTTGAGTTATTTTTTTATGCACTTAATAAGTTTTATAATTTTATAATTAACTACATAGTACCTATAAAATTCGAATAATTAGTTTACGAATAACAAACAATTAGTTAAAAACAATAAATACATTAGAAATATATTTCTCTGATCCTTAATATAAGATCTTTTTAACTAATTTGATTAAATTAAGAAAATTAGATAAATTAATTATTTATAAGAAATATGATATGTTTTTTCTAAAACACCATAATTATCTTTCTTCCCTCACTTATTTGATATGATGAAGAAGTATCCATAGGGCTAATTTAAAAAAAATTGATAAATATGAAAAATAGGTCTTATATTTGGGACCAAAACTAACTTAACAATTAGGTCTTATATTAAAGACCGAATGAGTATTTTTATTTTCAAATATGCCCTTATAATAAGTGAGAAAAAAATGAAAAAAATATATAAGAAAATGTGATAAGAGAGATTATGGCAAAAAAATAAATAACTAAGAAAAAATTTCAAAAGTTATATTAAATGTCAAGATAAATACTAAATTGAAACTTATAAAATGAAACATACCTCTCTCAAACTTTGACACTTATACACAATACAGGTGGAAGTAATAAACATCCTTGTGTACTGTGTAGGGTAATGTGATGCACTTGTTTTGAAACTTTTTTTTTTTTCCTGAATAAAACCTGAATAGCTAACTATTCAACCAACAAATCAGTGCGACAACTAGATTTTTTTTATCAAGATTCACCCCTTTAGAGGAGTGTAAAAATTGATGAGTCTGTTTAGAACAGTTTATAAATAGCTTTTTAATAACGATTTATAAAATACGAAACAAGTATATGAGAGGAATTTTATTTCAACTTATGTAAAATAGATTTATGAGAAATTTCTACTATTCTGCCAACCAAAATTAGCTTCTATGTTATAGGAGGCTTTTGCAAGATAATCAATAGATTCTCTCTAGAACTATAAAGCAACAAAACTTGTCAATCTCTATGCATGATGCTTTTAGCTTCCACTACTCCGCTAGGTCTCTAAGAGAATAGTTACAATCAGTAATTCAGTACCCACAGTACAAAAATCTAAGGCTTCAATAAGTTTGGAAACAATTTGGGATAATGAATCAGAATTTGGCCCATTTATTTAGTTTTGAATGAAAATAATCACTTTTTTCAAAGGAAAATATTTTATTAAACCTTATTATTTTTGTTTAAACTCAATAAAAATAAGCATAATTAAAAAATAAACGTAATCATTTTATGCCAACGGGCAACAGCTTCTAAAAATAATCTAACGCGATAGATGACGGAATGTATCATGAAAATATGATGAGACAAAGATATCGTAAAATTTTAAAATATTTAAATAATAAATATTTCTGTGAACAAGATTCACGAAGATATTATAAAATGTAAAAAAAAAAAAACTACGTAATAGGAAAAATTTTGGGATAAATTTCTTCTTAAGAAATTAAATGGCAAATAATTCTTATGGAGTTTGTGTTTCCTTGTATGTAATCTATTCCCTTGCGTGATATCTCTATGATTACACTTTTTTTTTTTTTGCCAATGCTCTATTATTACGCATATTAAAGAAAACTTTTATTACTGGAGTAATTTTTAATATAAATGAAATGAATATTTTGGAGAAACTAACACCTATTTTCTCCAAACAATTGACTTAGAGAGCGTTTGGATAAAATCAAACTATAGTTTGGAGAATAGTTTTTAAAAAAAATTTATTTTAAGAATATATTTTGAAAAAATAGATTTTGTTAAAAAAGTGATTTTGATAAAGTGATAATATTTAGGTAGTTGTTATTAGAATTACTTTTCTAATGTGCAAATTACTAAGAAAGATATAAGATAATTATATAACAAATAAATTTTGATTTATATTTTTATTTGAAATAATAAATTTGTTAATAATAGTTTTTTGTCAATATAATGAATAATGTAATAAAAATAAAAATAATTAATAATTAATATGTATATATATTTATAAAATATAAGATTAAATACATTTTTAGAAATATGATTATTTTACCTTAAATATTTTAAACATCGAATTTAATAATATTTTTTAAAAATTGAATAAACATATGTGAGAGCAATTTATTAGTTTTATGATTAATTAATAATTAGTGTGTATATAAAATATAGGATTAAATATATTTTAAAAAAATAATACTCTTATTATATATTTATGAATTTTCCTAATATTTTTTCTAATAATGATATGATGTAAATATCAAACATAAATAATTTGATTAAATTTACAGCTGAAGTCATAAATTTATTATATATTTTGTTAAACACAATAGGAAAATATGAAAATATCTGGGTAAGTTTTGTTAGGATTGTAAAGGGAAGAAAGAGGCCAATGCAAATATACACATCTTTTAAAGTTTGTAATTGGTTGATGTCTATCCAAAAGTAAACATTTTTTTGTTTATTCTGAAATCATAGTTTCATAGTTTCATAGTTTAAAACTATAGTTTTCTTAAAATGTTTGGTATTTGGGTGGTTTTCCGGGTTAAACCATAGTTTGATATTCAAAAATGTGTTTTCTTGTTTTGCCAAAATTAATTTTACTAATCTCTGCATGTTCTTGAACGATAAGTAGCATAAATGTGAAAATATTTTAGCCTTTTGGCTACAGAAATATATTTAGTTTCAAATTTCAAAGTTGAAATGATCTTATTTAACTTCAGAGAAATCAACCAATTTAACTAAAGAACATATTACCGCTCTGATTCTTCATAGAAAACTTATTTTATAAAAATTTTCAAAACATTATCAATTCAATCCAGTTAGTTAGAAGTTTTCAAAATATTGAATTAAAAAAATTGCATATTCTTATTCTTTTAAATAATAATCCTTTCAAATAAAATGACAGTTATGTACAAAATTAAGAAGTTTTTCGTATTTTTAATATTTGGGTTAATATATTTTTTTTTAAATGTGAGCCCATTTTAGTTTTGGTTCGTTAAATTTCAAACCCATAATTTTAGTTTATAAAATTTAGTTCATCTTAAAACATTAGTCCTTGTAAGTGTATCAATATTAAAATTTACTAAAATGTTATAAATAGTGTTAAGATGGTGATATGAATTCATCTAACAACATCTAACTGAATTTTATGTGGATAAAAGAGTAAAAAAAAACAAAAAACAAAAAACAAATTCTCAAAATGTAGCTGTTTAGCTTTTTCCCCCCTCATTTTTCATTTGAGGAGCTATTTGCTGTGCTATATTTTGAAAACTCATCCCTTTTTGTATAATTTATCCTGCATATAAAATCTAGCTAAACATTATCTGGTGAGCCTATATCACCACTTTAATATTATTTATGACACTTTAGTAGATTTTAATATCATTATACTTTCATGAGCTAATATTTTAAAGATATACTAAATTTTAGAAACTAGAACCAGATGTTTAAAATTTAGGGGGCTAAAATCAAAATGAGTCCAAATTTTGAGGATCAAAATTTATATTTGCCCTTAATATTTTTAATTCCCGGCAGCCCATTGTTTCGCCGTATGTGGCAACTGAGAGGTGGAATCCGAGATTAATTTCTTTCCCCTCGCAGCATTACTCCACGGGAAACAACAGGCAAGGCTTGGTCAGGACTGAGGACTTAGCAATTTGGTTTCTCTCTATACCTCTTCCGTTTGGGGAGCTATTTGCATCGAATCCTAGCTTCATCAAATACCCCGAATTGTATGTCTTATAGATTGTTCATGCCCAGTTTTTCTTTTATGTACTTCATATGTATGCGTCGGAATTTTTTTTCTTCTTGCCAACAGTATGCGTCGGAATTTATTGAAACGATATTGCAGAAAATGGCTTTAGCAAGTAGTCGCTGCTGTGGATTATGGAAATATCACGCTTTTACTGGCAATTTTGATTCAAATTTTCTTGGAAGCTAAAACAATGCATGAAAACGAAGGAAAAGGGGCGGCTTTTCTTCTGTTTCTGGACGTAGAAGCATGCCTCTGATGCACCATATTTCTGCATCTTTGAGATTCAAACTCTTCGGAATTCGTTTCTCCTGTCCTCAATTGCGTTTCCTATTGGCCCAGCTGATACATGTAGAGGCAACGTCGGAAGATGATGTTACTACGATTTGTAATTCATTTAGAAGAGGTTGGAGTTGGGATATCATAAGCAGAAAGTTTGATTCTTTTGAATTGAATGATGCAACTGTGGAGAGAGTGCTGATTGAGTTGAAGGAACCGCATGATGCCAGAAGTGCATTGGGTTTTTTTCATTGGTCAACAAAGAAGAAGAACATTGAGCATGGGGTTCGATCTTACTGTTTAGCAATCCATATTCTGGTCAGAGCCAAATTGCTCATGGATGCTCGAGCACTACTTGAATCACTTCTGAAGCAAAACAAGGAAAGTTCTTGGGGGTTTTTAATTGTGGATTCACTGCTTGACAGCTATAAGGTTTGTGCTTCTCATCCTTTGGTGTTTGATTTGCTAATCCAGGCTTATGCAAAATTGAGAATGTCTGTCATAGCTTTTGACATATGCCTCTATGTAGAAGAAGATGGGTTCTCTGTCAGTCTCATAAGTTTCAATACTTTACTTCATGTTGTTCAGAAATCTGATAATTGTAGTCTTCTTTGGGATATTTATGAGCATATGATTCAAAAAAGAACTTACCCAAATGATGTTACTTTCCGTATCATGATTAATGCTTTGTGCAAGGAAGGACAATTGGAGAAAATTGCAAGGACATTGGATCAGATAATGGGGAAGAGAAGCTATCCTTCAGTGATTGTCAATGCGTACTTAATTTTCAGGGTTTTAGAAGAGGGAAGAATTGAAGAAAGCATGGTAATGTTGAAGAGACTGTTGCAAAAGAACATGATTGCTGATTCAGTTGCTTACTCTTTAACTGTTTACGCCAAAGTTAAGATGGGAGATTTGGATTCAGCACGGCAGGCATATGAAGAGATGATCACCAGAGGTTTCCAAGCAAATAGTTTCCTTTACACATCATTCATAGGCGCGTACTGTGAAGAGGGCAGAATTGAAGAAGCAGAAATTTTAGTCCAAGTTATGGAAAAAGTAGGCTTGAAGCCATATGGTGAGACTTTTGATCATCTTATCAAGGGATGCGCAGAAACAGGGTGGTTGGATAAGTGCTTGAGTAACTATAAGCAAATGTTGAGAGCTGGGCTTATTCCCAGTTGTTTGGCATTCAATAAGATGGTAGGAAAGCTCTGTGAAAGAGGGGATGTGGCACAGGCGAATGCCATGTTGACAACCTTGTTAGATAAAGGGTTCGTTCCCAATGATTTAACATACTCTCTTTTGATAGACGGTTATGCTAAAAAGGATGAGATTCAGGAAGCTCTGAAGCTATATTATGAAATGGAGTACAAATCTCTGTCTCCTGGATCATCTGTTTTCACGTCACTGATACTGAGCTTCTGTCGTAATGGAAATTTGGAAGCTGCAGAGAAGTATCTGAGGATTATGAAAAGTCGCTCCCTAGCCCCCAGTGCAGCTGCATATCAGACGCTAATTGGTAGCTACCGGCAGAATGGTGATAGAAAAAGAGCTCTTCACTTTCAAAATGAAATGGCTTCTTTTGGATTGTAAGCGTAGAAATTGTGCTAATGCGAACAAGTAGTGCAGTTAAACTTTTTCAGAGCCAATTACTTCTTACTGTTCTGGACTGATCACTGATGTTCCGGACTTCCCTAGGAAATTATCATTTTTAACTTAGAATTCCTTTGAAATTGAAACTGTTTCTGCCTGTCAATGTAATCGAGGAGTTGGTAGAAAATCATTTAAGATGATTTGAACTTTTACAAAGAAGGCTGAAGAAGGCACCAATTAGAAGGCTTGAACAAACAATGTTGAGTCTTGTGAAGAAAAGTAGAGGAAGACTAAAAAAACTCAAGTTATTAGCGGTTTGATAGATGATATATCTAAAGAGTGTTCTCTTTTTGTAGTGAACTAAAGAGTGGGTTTTTCATAGAACACATTTGCCTAGTGTGGTTTATGTATAAGCCCATTTAATCCACCTACAGAGCGAGTTAGCCGGAGAGTTCAATCAGCACAATGTCAGACTTCTAAGGTTACCTTTGCTGGATGGAGCTTATTGCGATTCAATTTATTCTGGGTTGGCACTGGACAAGTAATTGTATTAATTTGAATGGAGGATTTGTAGGAGGATAATTTAAGCAATTCATCAAACCATCTTTATGTTTAGAGGTTGAATCTGCCAAAATTACTGCTTTTGGTTTTTGAACATGTTAATACTATCTGATGCTCTTTTTTTGGCTACATATAAGTATCTTTCTATTAGAGCTAATCTTATTTGAAACACTATCGGGTACTAAATGTAGGTACTTTTTCTAACAAGAATTTAAGTCTTAATTCGTCATGTTACGATAAATTAATTCTTTTTATTAAATATAACCCCTGTTAGTCCATATGATGCTCTTAGTAGATACACCCACTGCAATTTGTGAAACACTTGTTAGCCCGCTAAATCATGCAACATTGGCGGAGTTGGTTGGGCCATAAGTGTCTTTCCCACTGATAGTCTCAACCTATGCTCCGTACTTTAATTCTTATCAAACATGACAATTCTCTTATTTAGGGTGTTTTCTTTTTTTTAAAAAATATTTTTACACAAATTGAAATAAAATTTTTCTCACATATTTATCTCGAATATGATAAAATTACTCTTGAGAAGTTAAACCAAACACCCCTTAGAACAAACTCGAGGTGCTTATATTTGTCAAGTAAGGAATTATATTATTCTCCCAGCAAACTATTGGTTAAAATGGTAAGAAGTTTCATTATCGTCAGGAGGAGAACACAAGTTCAAATTTTAAAAAGTGTATTTGTTGAAAAAACTTTAACGGTTAACTTTAACACTATAGAGATTAGTCTTAACTCTCAAGCCTAAAGTAGCTTAAGGATACTTTGAATTATACCAAAAAAAAATGTTATTCCAACAATAGGTTGAGATGTTGAGAGGTTTTACTACTTTTCTAAGAATTATGTGTATTTATATATATTTATATATATAATATTAAAAGTCGAATGTGTTATAAAACTAATGAAGAGTAGAGAATAAGGGAGAATAAAATAGAAGACAGGAGTATTTCTTATTTCATTTAAGTGCTGAATACATTATACATAGCTTCTATTTATAGGCACAATTTTACATCTTTGACAAAATGTATATATTATATAATAATAAGAATTAATTATAGGACGTTGTGATAATGAGATATATCTGAGATAATCAGATATATATGAATATTTACGAAAATATTATTATATTCATATTAGGATGGTTGTTCTATCAAAAAGAGTAATGATTTACAGTTTTCATGGCCTAATCGGGTTGACCGGCGAGCCAATAACATAGTAATTAAATAATTTTTTTAATTAAAAAATAAGTATGTACTTCTTTGATTCTATTTATAAAGCACTTTCAATATACTTATGTTTAGGATCAGAGGAGTATTTCACACATACCAAGAAAAACCTTTAAATGCATTAACTGTTCATTAAAGTATAACAATTTTTGAACTTTACCCATATTTAATATATACACCTTCCAAAAAGATAACTACCTACACCATAATAAATAGAAGACAAAATAATACATTTACAATGAAAGTTTAATAAAATGACTTATAAATAGGATAAAAAAAATTTTCTCTCTTTGCCCTATAAATAGGACAAGAGGAATACATACATAATAATATCTCCGATCTTATTTATAAGATCTCAATTTATAGATTATAAACGAGGTCATATAATTAGAACCGGAGTTAGTAACATATAAGAAATAAATCTATACTACAAACGAATTCTTATAATTAAGATCGGAGGTAGTACTATATAAGAAATAAATCTATACTAAGTTTAATTGTATTTAAAGTTTTCAATGAATATCATCATATGTCCACAAAATAATTGGAAAATATATTGGGCGGTTTTTTACGGCCGGCAAAAATATTTCGGGCTTTTTGAAATGGTCAGATTCTTTTATTTTTATGCGTTTCTTTTTAATTTTTAGCATTCATCACGTCTAAAAACCACTTAATTTTTCAGTCCAATTTTGGTTTTTAACTTTTAACCCACTCATGGCTTAACTCCAATCCAACAAAACAGTTTTTAAATCTAAATAGAACTCCACAAAAGATAATAATAATGCATACAATAATACTACTTCCAATTCTAAATATAAGATTTAGTTCATAACATACTCTTCTTATCCTATTTATAAGGTACTTCCAGCATATTTCACTCAGACCAAGAAAAACCTTAAACTTCATTAACTTTCATTTAAAATTTAATGACTTTCTAACTTTATCCCTATTTAATACTCCCTCCGTTTCTTATTATAAGAGACAAATAACCGAAGTACGTTGATCAAAAAAACAGTTAAAATTAGTTAAGAACAATTAATGTGTAAAAAGTATAATTTTTTTCCAAAAAAATGCCCTCATTAATAAGGAGAGAGAGCATGAGAGAGAACAATTAAATTATTAAAAGAAAGAGAAGTGAGAGGGAGAGAGAGTGTGAGTTGGAGATAATAAATATGGGTAAAATAGTAAATCAACACAAAAAAGTAGAGACAACTTGTAAGTGTCTCTTATATATAGGAACATGCCATAAGCATCAAATGTCTCTTATAATAAGGAACGGAGGGAGTATACATTATATCTCATATAAACAAAGTCAACACAATAATAAATGAAGGATAAAATTATACATCTACATAAAAAATTTCTCTCAGTAGTCACGGCTGAAAGACGCCTATTTCCCTGGGATACTGGATGGAGTAATCCAAAAAAAAAAATACATTCTCTATCTATCCTTATAAATAGGACCAAAAGAGTAATTTACATTACAAAATAAACCTTATATTTAGTATTGGAGATAGTAATTTTTTTCCGGTGATAAGAGATGGTAATATTTTATTTTATGAATAAAACATCTTTTGAACTTTTCTCGTGTCCTTCAATAACACTAATAAAAGATATAGGCCTCATCATATATGATTCTATTGTTTTTTAATTATAAAAAATACTGGTGAAGCTACTGATTAATTAGTGCTGAATAAATAATTGAACACCCTTAAGCTGGCACCGACGCGCACCCTTACCGACGTCCACTCACGTGCATTTTTGTCCAATCACAGCTTCCCGCTTGGGAAGCTGAAAACGAGGGTTTTCTGCGTGCTTGGCGGCCGATACAGAAAGATCTGCCTTGTCTTAATTGGCCGTGGCTTGATGAGGATAACTAAGCTGACACGCCGGAGTTGGCTGCTGGCACAACTGGGTGGTGCCGTACCGCACCGCAGGCGAGTGCACGGTAGCGTTCATGGTGGTGCTTCAGGATTCCAATGTACTGCGTCCACGAGGCCATCTTCCCTTTACAACCTCCTTAATGGTTTCAAAACAAGCAAAATGCACATCAAATCCGGATTCTGCAAACCATTTTCAACAAACATGAAGGTCACACCTAGCCATGTCTCTAACTTCAAGTTCCAGGAGTACGTGGCGACCAAGATCAAAATGGTAAACAAAGCACTAGATGAGGCAGTGCCTCTGCACCATCCAACAAAACTCACTGAGGCTATGAGGTACTCTCCTCTCAGAAGGCGAGAGTTTGTCCCATTTTATGTATTGCTTCATGTGAGCTTGTGGGAGGAGACGAATCCTTCGTCATGCCCATGGCTTGTGCCATTGAAATGATCAAGACTGTTTCAATGATCCAAGATGACCTTCCCTGTATAGACCAAGGTACTGAAAACCGGACCGGTAACTGAACCGGTCAAGGTAGTAGATCAAGGGTTAGTGGGTCAGCTCGGAGTTGACCCGGAGTCAGAACAGTGAGGAATTAAAAAAAAATTAAAAAATAAAAAATAAAATTCTTATCACACCATCCAAAAATTCAATATCAATTTAATACCTTAAATTACCAAAAAATAATCATATATTCACAATATATTTTCAAGTTTTAACTTTTTTTACATAACAAAATAACATCAAATTGTCATACTGCCATCTCATGTCACCAAAATACTAAATATTCATCCTAGAAAACTATCAAAATAGATATATATATATTGGTACCTATAATGATTCAATCACTAAACCAACTAATAATTATCCACACCAAAGTTATCATTAACTTCATTTAAATCTATAGGCATTGAGACACTAGGAGGAGGAGGAGAAGCTACAGAAGGACCAGCACAAGCACTTGGAGTAATATCATCATCATTCTAAGGTGGAGGCTCAGGAATATGCATGTCTTCATCACCTATACATGACAATAATTAAATTGTTAATGGTTATGTGAAAAAAATAGTTATACACTTTTGTATAAAAATGAAACTATAACAGAAGAGATTATTAATTTATTACAAACCTTCATCATGCCTCTCAATCTCAAAAGTTGATGTAGTTGTAATGTCTTCATTATTGGCAACTCTTTCAAAATTTATTTCATCTAGATTATCAAATTCAGGAGTTGCATCTTCAACCACCCAAAAATCAACTTTATCAATTGATTCATAATCAATAGGATCATAATTTGTCTTCTTGTTCAATAGATTCCTTCAATGACAAAATATAAGAAAATCAACATTAATGAATTCTATATTCAATAAAAGCAAATAAGCAATATTCAACATTAATGAACTCCATCAACGAGAACGCGGAACGCAATATGTTTCCGTCAACGCCGACCAGTCATTAATGAGCCACGGCGAAACTACCACCAACTCTAAAAATGCAAGAAGAAATGGCTTGCCGGTAGGGTAAATAAG